CGAGTAAAAACTGCTGTAACAACATGACTTGAGCCCCATGCATTAATTTGTGAATAGATCTCAGCACGCTATTAGTTTTGGCAACTTGTGCTTTCAAACACTAGCAGAAGAGTTGTAGGAGAATGTTTCCTTTTGTATATAGTTTGAAACATCTGGCCTGAAAAAGCAAAGACTTCTGGTTTTAGAAGAGCAAATAAATACTCTGATGGAGTCACAGCATTTCTTATCTATGGTCATACAGAAAACCAGAAATAGGATATTATCATTCCAGGGGCCTCTGTCTTAGGACTTTCAGGATTTAGAACCTTTAGATTTCAGAATCTTACATTTTGGAGTCAATAGAGGTTCCCATGAATAGGACACTCCTGTGAATTTACGGAGTCCTTGTGTGGCACTGTGAGTTAATGTGCTGGGCTGCAAAGTCAGTTTGAATGCAAAGATGGTGGTTCAAGCTCACCAGCCACTCCTGGGAAACCCTATACAGGGTTGCTATGAGTTGGAACCTACTGGATGGCACTTAACAACATGAATCTTATACTCCAGCTTGCTGAAAACGAAAGGAGGACGATAGGGAGAGCTGTATTTATTTCCTCCCTTTTTTACTCTTCTATTTTCTTGCAAAGGCAGAAGCTGGGGAAAGATTCCAATGGGAAGAAAGGGAGTGATTTGAAAAGGCCAGTGGGGATTTAGAAGCTAGGGTTGATTGTTTATTCTTCACTCTGGCTTTAGCACTCTGAGGTTGCTGATTCAAGAGGAAAATATGCTGAGTAGCTCTTCAGTGGCCACTTCCTCTTCACTCTTTATTGCGGCCCAGGCTTGCAAGCTGGGCCTGAGTGGCCAGTCCTTCAGTCCATGCAGACCTCCTGGTACACCAAAGCTCCTAGCCCTGGACCAAAAGGTCAGCTTGAACCAGGAGGTCGGTGGTTCAAATTCACTAGCTGCTTCTTGGAAACCCTATATAGAGTCCATATGAATTGGAAATGACAGCAAATAACAGAAACAAATTGGTATGGAACCTTGGTGGTGGTGGAGGATAAGTGCTGGATTGCTAACCACAGGTCGGCTGTTCACACCTACCAGCTGCTGTGGAAGAGAAACATGAGGCTTTCTGCCCCCATAATATTCAGTCTGGGAAACCCTGTTGTTAAGTGCGGTTGAGTCCGTTTTGACTCATGGGGTTTCCAATGAGAAATTTTCAAGATGGTCCATCTTCAGGAATAAGGGCTCATGAGATTGCTAGACCAGACATAGGTTGTTAATTCACACCCAGGGATATGTAAGCAGGAAGAATTGGGGGAAGGGAAGAAAGAAATCTGTTCTATAGCTCGGAACTTTAAGTAAGAATGGAATCATTACGGCCATGGGTGCCACCCAGGGTAGACTGGAGCACTGGAGAAGGGGCTTTTCGAGACAAGGGAATAAAACTGTTGTGGGCCAGCCATGCGGCGCATCTGCCTGTGTCTATTGGATTGGGTGCCTAATTTTTTTAAATCGAATAAAGAAAACCTCTTTTGCTAAAATAAGTACAGATTGGATTACTAAAGCATTTGTTGGTATCAACAATGTTTCTCACAGTTGGTGATAGGAGCTGCCATCTTCAAGTGGGAGATCATGTCTCTGATGCAGAAGAAAGAACTTTGGATCTGGGGTTCTAAGTCCTTGGTTCTAGGCCTAATTCTACCACTTATTAGACGTTATCTTCTCTGTTTTAAAACAGATGAGAATAACCCCTCAACAGCTGGGTTCTAAGAGTAAAATATGACAAGTGAAAGCTCTTGTGCATTTCCAGTCTGGCACATGACTTGTCCATTGTGAGATGGAATGAGCTGGAACACAAACACCCACGTGTAAGGCTTTATTGAGGGTCAGGAGGAAAGAGAGAGCAAGTATTGCTGTGGGAAGGACTTTTATACTGGTTAAAGAGGAGAGCGGGGTTGAGATTAGTGGAGGTAAGTGATAGGCTGACTAGGGATGCTGTGCAGGTAGGGAGAGAGGAAGTTCTGGTAGGTTGGAAGAGAGGTTCCGGGAACGAGAGTGAAAGCGCGGCAAGCAGCCATTTTATTATGCATGTGGATGAGAGATTCTATCGTCCATGTTATCACTCATTGGTAGAAAGCATAAGAAAGTGTCAGGGGTAGGAAGGAATGAAAATTCTCTACTTTCCTGCTTGGTTCAAATTCCCTCTGGCCATTCCTCTAAGAAAGAAAGAAATATATGAACTACTGGCAATGCAGGTAGATTGCCTTCCTCTCGCCTTTTCCTGTTCGTATCTTAGTACTCTTTGTTCCTAGGTCACAGTTTCTCATTGGAGTTAAGCAACATAAGGAACTGTGATCTAGAAATGAAGCTTACTTGACTGAGTTCACTGTGAAACAAACATATTTGAAATCCAGGCACTTGCAAAGCAAAATTGAGAGGAGTTACTTAAAACGTAGTGGTACGTACACTTGGTGACGGCATGCACACACATACCACAGGGAGAATTCTAGAAGTTCTGTGGTGCTTGTAACGAATCAAGCACAGTGGTATGGCATGCTAGATATAAAGACACATTGTTTATTTGTTTTAGCGAACAGTTTTGCTTCCCATTGATTGCAGATATGCATTCATCAGTATGTTTACAAGACTGGCTAAAGGAAGAACCCAGATGAATGGCTGCATGAAGGAAGAATAGTAGGCAAACAGACCAAACTGAAAATGTGTGCCGTCTCAAGTCCTTGAGTGAAATCCAGCACTTGAGGATCCTGTCGCTTTCATTTGCTTGTCTTCAGGCTATCAGTCACTCTGATTAAAATACAGACTTGTACTTACCAAGAAGACTGATCTTTAGATCACTGTCATTTTTGCCTGCCTAACATCATTACGCTTTCTTCTTTGGAGGAACCCAGCTTATGCAGTTTGGGTGCAGCTCCCTCAGCCCCTCTGTAGCCAGGGACTTATTTAGGAGGCGGGTATCTGACCCAGATCTTGTCAGTTGAGTACTCCTGCCTCCCAGGGCCCAGATACTGGTTCAGACACTCACAAGTAGCCAAAACTGAATGCTCTCCCTCCACGCCCCCCTCCTATTCCCCTCAAAGGAAACATGGGACTTTGAGGCTACTGGCAGCCATCCAAAGAGAAGCAGAGTCCATTGTTGATCCATTTGACACAGCTGTGTCTGACCCTTTAACTTCTCACTGGTGAACGAATACTCTCCTTTTTTGGCTGAAGCTATTCTGAATTGCGAATATTCCAGAACACTTAATCGTGCTCATGAGGAATCTGTACCTGGACCAAGAACATGGGAACACTTAATGGTTGACAAGGTTGCATTCTTTCACCATACTTATTTAACCTGTATGCTGAGCAAATAATCTGAGAAGCTGGGTTGTATGAAGAAAAATGTGGCATCAGGGTTGGAGGAAGACTCATTAACAGCCTGCAATATGCAGATGATACAACCTTGCTTGCTGAAAGTGAAGAGGACTTAAAACATTTACTGATGAAGATCAGAGAGCACAGCTTTTGGTATGGATTACATCTCAATGTAAAGAAAACAAAAATCCTCACCACTGGATCAATAAACAACATTCTTATCAACAGAGAAAAGATTGAAGTTGTCAAGGACTTCATTCTTCTAGGATCAACTAACAACACTCATGGAAGCAGCAGTCAAGAAATCAAATGATGGATTGCATTAGGCAAATCTGCTGCACAAGACCTTTTTAAAGTGTTGAAGAGCAGAGAAGTCAGCTTGAGGACTAAGGTGTGCCTGACTCAAGCCATGGTATTTTTAATAACCTCATATGCATGCAAAAGCTGGACAGTGAATAAGGAAGAACGTAGAAGAACTGATGCTTTTGAGTTATGGTGCTGGAGGAAACTATTGAAAGTGCCATGGACTGCCAAAAGAACCAATAGATCCATTTTGGAAGAAGTGCAGCCAGAGTGCTCCTTGGAGGCGAAGATGGCCAAACTTCGTTTCTCATACTTTGGACATACTGTCAGGAGGGAGCAGTGGCTGGAGAAAGATGTGTTTGCTAAGGTGGAGGGTCAGAGAAAAGGAGGAAGACCCCCAACAAGATGGATTGGCCAAGTGGCAGCATCGATGGACTCAAGCGTGGCAACAATAGTGAGATTGGCCCAGGATTGGGCAGTGTTTCGTTCTGCTGTGCATAAGGTTGCTATGAGTCAGTATCAACTCGATGGCACCTAACAACAACAACAACATTCTGAATTGAAGGAGTCCCGGTAGTATAGTGGATTATAGGATGAGCAGCTAACTTCAGGGTCAGCAGTTCGAATCTGTCAGCCACTCCACAGGAGAAAGATGAAGCTTTCTTGTCCCATAAAGATTTACAGCCTGGGATAAATACCCTCTACAGGCTTGCTATGAGCTGAGATTTGAAGGGACGGTCCACCACTCTGAATTGGGTCACTTTCCCTTCCATTCAGGAGAACGAAACCATAAAAGAAATTGCCACAAGTAATGATAGTACTTTAACTAAAATCCAATTCATACTTTTTATTTAAATGTGCGTAGCTGTTACAAGGCAGCATTTGTCAGTAAGAACAGAACTTATCTAACTCATTGAGTTAATGAAGATCCTCCAGTGACTTGATGGGAAATGGGTCATGGTACCATCTTCACTAGTACGGTTTGGTTTTCCTGGTAAAACCTCTCAAGCCTTCAAGCAAATAAAAGTCACATACACAAAATTCACCATATTATTTTACTGGAATTTAGAAAGGAGGAAGTTATATAGGGCCAAGTTTTCACAAAGAAAATCTTCGGGTTGAATTGTAGCCAAATGAAAGAGCATTCAAGTTGCCGTGCCAGTCTCAGCTGGCCTGGGCAATGGAAGCAGTGTCCTTCTCGGGTGAAAGAGGTCAGGAGTTAGCTCCATGGTCACCCTTTCATCACTTCAACTCTGTGTCATGGCTCAGTGATCCTGAACACCCATTCTGAAAAACTCCTTCCATCTCTATGGTCTTCTTCATCTGACTGAGAAGGCTGCTGCCTACCAGCCGTAGGCTCTGGTCCATACAGCTTTCTTCTTAAACTCCGGGAGAACTCTCAACGACAGGAGGGTAGCTAAGGAAACAAAGAATAAAGCACACGGTTCTATTGGGTGCATTGCATTTGAACAAGTCATTTTGATCAAAAAGGTGTCAGAATAAAACTTGGCTTTTTCTCACTTGGCTGACTGTAAAGACTTAAGATCCTATTAAGATTTTTGGCAGAATTTTAATGGCAAAAACATATAAAGGTTGGAGGGAGATTTTTTTTAAAGTTATACTATAACCAGTTAATGGGAAATTCTGCAGAATTAAAACAAAACACTGAAGCAAGCATGACTCAACTAAATTTTGTTTACTATGTACCCACAAGTATACATCTTTCCTTATCTGTCATGGGTCCCTCAGGGATCAATTTAAAATGGGAAGGTTCTATATCATCCCTTAGGTAACTTATATTACCTTACTTCAGAACGTTAATATAAATATATTTAAAATACAATAGTGTGAGAGAATGTATATAAGGCACAGCTAAACAATTATGAGTGATCCTAACAAAATCTGGCTAAATAGTCAAGTGATTGTGTACTTCCTTGACCCAAATGACTTGTTTACTCATCAACATCAGCTGAGACAATATACATTTAGACCAATCAATGGTCTTAGAGCCCATGACATCAAAAACGAGTCCAAATGCCCTGAGAAAAATGGACACAGAAAATCCTAAGAAAGAGTCTCTAGGGAAGGGTCAAGTGAAAGTACGTGCTCGGTGGTTATCAGGAACACCTAATACACATGGTTAATGGGTCAGACTGCAAAGCCATTTCAACTGTTAAATCGGTTCCGACCAATAGCGACCTTGTATAGGGTTCCCGAGGAGTGGCTGGTGGGTTTGAACTAGTTATGGTATGACTACCAGACTAGCCAGATAAATTATTATAAGAAAAGGCCACCAGGCAATTTTCCTAAGGTGAAACTTCAGTGTAGCAGCTCATTGCATGCTAGTGACATCAGCATCAGTCACTGTCCCCAAAGTCCCAAGATGTGTATGACACATACAAGCCCCCTCAGGCCAAAGAGTAAATATTCAAACAACTTCTTAGCTTTGAGTGAAAGGGTCTACATAATTTTCACAGAAAGATCCTCCATATTCATGAGTCCTATAATATCTTAACAAAGTCAATAAAGAACGACAAGCAAATGTGAACCAAAGCTATTGTTAGTGAGTTGATTCGGAGTCATAGCCACCCTACAGAATTGTCCCATAGGGCTTCCAAGGCTGCAAATCTTTACAGAAGCAGCCTGCCTCATCTTTTTCCTGAGGAAGCTACTAGTGGGTTCGAACTGCCAACGTTTCTGCTAGTAGCCAAGTGCTTAACCACTGTGCCACCAGAGCTCCTTAGAAAATGATAAAAGACACAAAAAGTCACCCACATTTTGAAAGCATGTGAAATGTTGAATTCCTTTGGCAAAATACTACACATTTGTCAAAAATAATATTTATGAAGCCAGTGTAAGAACAGGGTAAAGTGCATATAAAATAATGTTAAAGTGAAAATGTAGTATTCAAATTATCTAAGTAGGTTTTCAATTACATATGATTAAAACTAAATCAAAATGATATCCATACACAGAGGAGACATAAATACTTCTTAGGAAAAATATCAAAACAGTCCTTGACCAACGGACCTCTAGGTTCCGGTTTGCTTCATTTTTTGTAGTTAAAATCTTAAAATTATAACTTGTAAATTTTGAATTTTCTAACTCTTAGTTAAAAGCATATTTTACAATTAAAACAAAAACTTCAAGAAATATTTAAATAAAAGTTAAATATAATGATGATGGAACTCTTAACTCTTTCTGGTTCAAAATGACACACTGGTGACAGCTCCAGATGACTTGCCTAAGTCGAAGCCAGATGACAAGAATATACAACAGCACAGACAGCTGGCTGACACTAGCCTATAGCAGGCAATAATCACAGATTTGGTACCTTTTAAAAGATCCTTGGATTTCGCTGAAAGGGCTTCAGTAGGGGTTTCCATGATGTTGAATAACCAGTTAATGAACTAGGGGGAAAATGAAGAAAAAATTAGTGAGGAGATCAGTTAGTCCCATGAGCTGTAAAACTAAGAACGAGTGTAATAGCTAAGCGACATCTGACTGGGTTGGGGAAGTGGAGTTGAGACAGGACCAGGCCACAAGATATGGCTGAATGACCTGGCACACTCAAAACTACTTCCCCTAGTTACAACCACAGGAGACAGTTTTTGAGAGCCTAAGAACACATCAACATAAAATCATCAATTAAATACAACAACACCATAATGTCCTGGGGACAACAGACAATTTTATCTCACATGAAGAAACATGAAAGAATGGCTCAAACAAATGACCAAGAATGCAGAGCCAGAAAAACATTTCTGATTATGTTTCAGTTACTTATGGAACTAACTGAAAAGGAAGAAAAATTAATGAGATTTAGATACCTTTAAAGGATTGAAGGAAAACACAGAAAAAAAGAAAGAAAGAAAGAAAGAAAGAAAAAGAACTTTAGAAGATTTCAGAAAAACATTATAAGAAAAAACAAAAACAAAATGAATGAAAATTTTGAAACAACACAAAACTTGCAACTATATATCCAGAAGATTAATACTAAAATTTCAGAAATGGGCAACACATTGGAAGATTAGAATGAGGAGATGAGAAGCAATGGAAGCCTTAACTACTGAGTTGGAACATAAATCTCTCAATACTAGTATGTTAGAAGAATAATCAGAAAAAAGAAAAAGTCTGAAGAAAGCCTAAGAGTTCTGTAGAACACCATGAAGAGGATTAACTGATGGGTAACTGGAATTCCAGAATAGAAAGAGACGATAAAAAGCACAGAGAAAACTGCTGAAGAGATGTTGGAAGAAAATTTCCCTAAAATCTTCAAACACAAGAAGTTAAGCATGCAAGAAGCTGAATGAACCCCAAACAGGATAGACCTCAAAAGAAAATCACTAAGATATATCATAATCAATCTTCCAAAAATTAAAAACAAGAAAAGAATCCTGAGAGCAGCTCAGGAAAAATGAAATGTTATCTACAAAGGGGACCCAGTAAGACTAAGTTCTGATTTCAGCAGAAACAGTGTAGGCAAGAAGGCAAATGACATATACAAAAAATGCAAGAAAAAAAAATGCCAACCAAGAATCATATACCCAGCAAAGCTGTCCCTCAAATAAGACAGCAAAATTAAGACATTTCCAGATAAGCAGAAATTAAAGGAATTTGTAATTAGACCAATTATTTAAATAATTACTAAAGGGTGTTCTGTGGACTGAGAACCAACAACAGCAGACAATAACCTGAGGTTAACATACATGACAACATCACCCAGAATTCAATCCAGATATAAGAGTATCTAAAGTAAAACAGGGTCACTATGGGTCGGAACTGACTCAACAGCACTTAACAACAACAAAGTAAAACAAAGCTACAAGAGAGAAAACAGGGAAACAGAGATATCAACTTATAATGAATTAGACTACAAAGCAAGAAGAGGGAAGAGACACAAAACTTCCAAATGGTGGGGAAATCAGATTTCAAGGTGAAACAGACTGTTTTAAATGGGGTGAAAATTAATATATTACAGGGTAACCTCAAAGAAAATGAATATATCTTCACATCAAAATAAAACAGAAGAACATTAGAAAGACTTAGTAAACATTAATACAATAGAAATGAAAATTAAAAGAAAACACACAAACAAAATGATGCAGAGTAGAACAAAGAAACCAGCAACACCACAAAAGAACCCATGGCAAAAGGACAGCAACTAATTCATATCTCACCAGAGGCTCCTTGGAACCCTATACAGGGTTGCTATGGGTCGGAACTGACTTGACGGCACTTCACAATAACAACAACAAAAGAATTACATTGAATGTAAATGGATTAAAGATATCAGTCAAGAGACAGAGAGTAACAGAATGGATGGAGACAGCCTAAATGCCCATCAAAGATGAATGTTTAAAACAAACTGATACATACAAACAATGGACTATTATGCAATGTTGAAGAAGAAAGATGAATTTGCAGAATGCAGATGAACCTGGAGGATATTATGCTGAGTGAAATTGTTCAATCACAAAATGACAAATATTGTATGAAACCACTGTTGTAAATAGTTAAGAAAAGGTTTTCTTGGTAGAAAACACATTCTATGATGGGGCAGGGCGAAGGGGCAGAGGGGAAAATAATTCAAGGACTAGAGGGTAGACACATGTTAACATGGGTGATGGGGCAGGCAATATACAAGACAGAGGTTGGCAGAGGAAATATGAAGGTAATGGGAGGAATGCAAGAGTTGAAGTGAACAGTAGTAAATACTGTTAATTGATGGTACATGGAGGGTATTGCAATAATTCTAATGAGGCAAAGTATTTTTTTTTATACATTTAATGTATAATGTAAAATATACATTAAAATCATTTGATTTATTGAATGTAAACCTCCTTATCTCATCTGCAAACCTTCACTCAATTCACAATACAAAGAAAGATTTTTAAAATAATCACCTGGATGGAAAAACAAAAACATTAAAATAAAAATTTTATGAATTTAAAAAAATGACCTTGGAATTGGTATGGATCTTCTAAGCATGATATAAAACTGAAAATCATAGAGGAAACGATAGACATATTTGTCTGTATAAAAATACGTATAATAGATGCAAGATGTTTACATTCTAGTTCCATGTGAAACTAGGGCCCCAATACAAATATAACATTACGAGACACCACACTTGAACTTACTCTGCTGTCCTCAAATGTTTCAGAGTAGACTAGAAAACATTTGGGGACAGCAATACTTATGATTATCACATTTGAGAAAACAAACAAGCATCTCTTTTAAATGAGATGCTCACTGGAGATTTACATGGTTAAACTATGGGCAATAATTCAGAAATTGTTTTAAAGATTAATATCCAGTGGAGGTAAAGCTAATACCTTGTTAGACACTGCACACTCAAGAAACCAAGTGGAACAGATAGAGATGAAAATCCTGGAACCCTGGAGATCAAATGAAAGATCGAGAAGTCGATCAAACACTGATGAGAAGAAGAAACTGAATGAGAGCAGCAAACAAGGAGAAATATACAGCAGATGTGTTCTGTCAGCAGGGCCATCACAACATGGCCATTTTGAGATGCCACAAGCTATGTTCCTGTGTGAAGAACACAGGCAACTTTATGGAATCCCCAATAAGACAGAAATACAGTTTAGACAAAACTAGATTGAAGCAAAGTGAGCAGAATACAAACTAGATCTAAGAAAGGAAAGTGCAGGAGAGAACTTCAGACATGCAGGCGACCAGAGCCAGGGAATGAGTTAGTAAATAGGGATAAGATCACTCATGAGCCATGGTCTCTGTTCATTCAGGTTAGGTCCTGTTCATTTGGGTTCAGAAGGGAAAGCCTAATAGGTGGTGGTTGGAGATGCTGGACTCTAAGCATACCCTTCCAGTACTGAGTCAGGATAAGAACCAGGTGGCAGTGCACCAGTTCCAACACTGGTGACCAGTGACCAGAGGTTACCCCTCATCCCCACTCACCCATCTGTCAGTGACCCCGTGCCTGATGTCCTTCATTCCTCCCTAACTGTGGCCCCCACCCTAGTAGCCTGTGGTGCATTACCATGGATCATGCACTACTTACCCGCCACCTACTTGTTAGGCGGTGCATGCTCTCACATGCGATATGCCTGCTGCTTCACTGCTTCTCTAGCAGCTGGGCCATGCACTCTCATGGATCCCACAAAGAAACAAGATCACTCAAGCAAATGAACAAAATACAGGGTCAGAAAACCTTTCTGAGGAAGAATAGCTAACAAGGAATTCAAAAGAATTATATTTAGGACATTTCAACAGATTAAGAAGGAGAACTAAGAAACACAGAGGAAGCCAAGGAAACCCTAGAAGAATTCTAGATAACAATAAAAGAATAAATTGACAAATTAATATCTAGAAGCCAGACAAAAACAAATATTTATCCAGCAGATTAACACTAAAATTTCAGAAATAATAACACATTACAAGGACAAAGGAGTAGAGCTGAATCAACAGAAGACAGGATCAGTGAAAAAGAAAACAAAACTCGTTATCTATCTGTTAGAAGACTGATCGGAAAAAAATATTAAGTAAAAAATTAAGATATCATAAGAATTATGTACACAAGAGGAATAACTTCTGTATGATCAAAATCCAGACAAAGAGGGGAAAAAACCACACATACACAAACAGAGAAAATTGTCAAAGACTTGTTGGCAGAAAATGTCCCTAATTTTAAGAAATATGAGAAGAGACCCATATTTCCATAAACTCTATGTAGGATGGAACCCAAAAGAAAATTACTAAGACATATCATAATCAAAGTGTCCAAAACCAAAGACAAAGGCAATCTTGAGAGCAGCATGGGAAAAACAAAATGTTACTTACAAAGAGGAACCAAAGTCTTTTTTTTTTTTTTGCAGAAACCATGAAGGGAGGAAGACAATAAGATGACACATATAAAACCCTGAAGGGGAAAAAAAAAAACAAACAAACTGACAACCAAGAACTATATAGTCAGCAAAATTGTTGCCAGTATGATGGCGAAATCAGGACATTTTCAGCTAAACAGAAATTAAAGGGATTTGTAAAAATCACACAAACCTCGCAGAATTTCTAATGGGAATGCTTCAGATCAAGAAACAGCAACATCAGAGAGCCACCTGAGATTAAGATGATCTAGAAATGAACCTAGATTAAGAATTTTTAAAAAGTAAAGAAAGTTACAACACTAAAAGTAGGGAACCAGAGACATCGATTTGTAAATGATGACAACCACAAAGCAGAACGAAAATTAATACCCTTACCCAGCAATGCCAAACAACTAGAAAAAAGAGCAGCAACAAGCAAACAAATAAAAACAAAAACCCAAGCCTAAGTCAGCAGAATAAAGGCAACAACAAAGACGTGCTACTAGGGTCCTGGAGTCCTGGTGTGGGGCTATAGGATAAACCTTGATACCAAAGCCTGGCAAAACACTACTGAAAAAGATCATTGTGGATTTATATCCCTCATGAACATCATTGTTGCTGTTGTTGTTGTTAGGTGCTGTTGAGTCCGTCTGAACAACAGCAAGACCAGACAGAAACACAGCCTGGTCCTGTCCCATCCTCATAATTGTCATGGTTGAGCCCACGGCTGCTGCCACTCTGTCAATCAATGTCATTGGGGGTCTTCCTGTCTTTTGCTAACCTTCCACTTGTCCAAACATAATGTCTTTCATCAGGGACTGGTTTGTCCTTGATAACATGTCTGAAGTATGAGAGACAAAGCCCTGCCATCCTGATACATAACGAACATTCTGGCTGTACTTCTTCCAAGACAGATTTGTTTTTCTTCTGGTAGTCCACGGTACTTTTAATGTTCTTCTTCAACACCGTACTTCAAATGCATTGCTTCTTTCTATGTTCTTCCTTATTCATCATCCACCTTTCACATGCAGGAGGCGACAGAAAATACCATGGATTGGGTCAGGTGCACCTTTAGTCTTCAAACTGACAGCTTTGCTTTTGAACACTTTAAAAGAGGACTTTTGCAGCAGACTTGCCTAATGTAATACACGGTTTTGATTTCTTGACTGCTGGTTTCATGAGTGTTGACTGTGGATCAAGGCAAAACAAAGTCTTCAACAACTTCAATCTTTTCTCCATTTACTATTAATTCAGTTGTGAGGATTTTTCTTTTCTTTATATTGAATTGCAATACATACTACAGTCTTTGATCTTCACCAGTAAGTATTTTAAGTCCACTTTGTTTCCAGCAAGCAAGGTTGTACTCTACAATGCCATTCCAGAACTCCAATTAGAGAGATATAAATCAAAACTACCTTGAGCTATCATTTAACCCAATGATAATAGCACTAATAAAAACAAACAGAACATTTTTTAAATGCTGGTCAGGTTGTGGGTAGATTGGAACTCTTACAACCTGCTGATAGCAATGTAAAATTATACAACCACCATAGAAAATGGTGAAGGAAATCTGGTAGTTCAGTGGTTGTGGGTCGGGCTGCTAATTTCACGGTCAGCAGTTAGAAACTACCAGAGGTTCTGCAGGAGAAAGATGAGGCTTTCCGCTCCCGTAAACATTTACAGCCTTGGAAACCCTATGTAAGGTTACTATGAGTCGGAACCAACTCCATGGCACATGACGACCACATGGCACAATGGTACTTCCTTAAAAAGTTACAGCTATCATATGATCCAGTAACCCCACTACTAGGTATATATCTAGGAGAAGTAAAAGCTGTGACATGAACAAATATAAGTACTTCATTGCAGCATTATTTACAGTAGCAAAAAGATGGAAAGAACCTAAAGATCCATCAACAGATGAATGGGTAAACTATGGCATATACACAAAATGGAATACTACATAATGTTAAAGAATATCAGTGAATTATTGAAACACCTCATAACATGGATCATGCTGGAGGACATTATGCTGAGTGAAATCAGTCAATCATAAAAGGGCAACTATTGTATAACAGAGATTATAAAAAGTCAAGACATAGTGTCTATACAGAGAGAGACATTCTTTGATGGTTAGCAGGGTTAGGATGGTGAGGGAGGGAAGACCACCACCTAGAGAGCAGACTGCAGCTGCCGAATGGAAAGGCAATCTACAATATGGGGAAGTCAGCAGAACATGAAGAAGGCTAAGACTGGGAGGTGAACAAGGGTAAAAGGCAACAATGGTAAACAGTACTACATACACAATGCAATAACAGTAATAAAGAAAATAATCTATGATACATAGCTAGACACGTGTGCTGAGCAGGTGTGGGACAGACAATGGGAGTACACCCACAAGTGTTATGTGTGTGTTTGGTCGAGGGTAATTCTTCCTATGTATTTGTATGTGCTGCAAAATATATCCATTTATTAAGTAGAGTGTACAGGAAGTAAAGTTATGAAAACTCCTTAGCCAAAAGCAAACACTTTGAGGGACTGAGTCACTGGGGTTATGGATTTAGTGTCATAGTCTCAGGGGATAAGTAGGTCAGCTGGCATAATAGTCAATAAAGAGAATGTTCTATATCTACCACGATATGTAGTGACAGGATCTTATAAACTTGCAGTCATCTACAATGCATCTGAAGCAAGAAGAGTGAAGAAAATGAAAATTTCATGGAAACAAATAGTCCAAAGGACTAATGGGCCATTGGCACCACGGTCTCTACCAGCCTGAGACGAGAAGAACAAGATGGTGGCAGACTACCACTGTAGACAGCTGTGATCGGAATTATAATAGGGCATCCTAGACAGAATGGGAGAAAATGATCAAACAAAATTCAAAATCATAAAAATGACCACACTTACTGGTCTCACAGACACCACTGGAACCATTAGACATCTTTCAATCCTGAAATTGAATCCACCCCTAGAATTACCGTTAGACCAAACAACAGACAACCTTATAAAGTGGACATTAATACCCATAAGGAATGTGCTCCTCAGAACAATCATGAATATGAGACCAAAAGGGCAGCATTTGCCCCAAAACACAATTCTGAAGATAGAAAGGGACAAGAAACAAGGGTGAATGGAAGTAGGGAGACCAGGATGTAAATGCGAAAAGCACCACTATATTGAGGGGATCACAACTAATGTTGTGAAAAAACACTTAAATAAGCTGTTGGATGGAAATCGAATTGGCTCTGTAAACTTTTATCCAAACCACAATAAAATGCTCAAAAAGAAAAAAAAAGAAGATTAATTAATGTCCATATTTTAAGAATAAGCCACAAAATTTTTTTTAAAGAGTATCAACCTTATAAAAAACCCAACTTTTATCAAACAGGACCCAAGCAGAACCTTCCAATCGACTGCATTAAACATGGGTCAGAGCCCCACCCTATCCATGACACCTAGGAACCTTTTGTTTTTGTTGTTACGTGCTGTCGTGTCAGTGCCAACTCTTAACGCCCCTGTGTAGGGTTTCCGAGGAGCAACTGGTGAGTAGGAACTGCTGACCTTGTGATTTGCAGTCCAGTGCTGATCCTACAGCGCCACACCAGGAGCCTGGGAAGCCTCAATATTAAAAACCTACAGCGTGGACTTTCCTGAGGGGGAGATGATGATATTGAGCTTTTTAAAAATCTTGTCACAGCATCTAGCACAGGGCAGGGCAGGGGCATAGTGGACACTTGGAACACATCTGTGGGAAAGGATGAGCTTTGAGAAGATGGATGTCCCAGACTCATGATTCAGTCCAAGCCTTCCCTGGCCCACCTCAAGCACTGCTGATTGCTCCCTTCCTTTGTTCATTTCCAATACACTGTATTATACCATCTTGCAGTCTTGAAACTGTTTTCCTGTCTGATCAGTCTAAAATATTGAGCTGAGACGTATTTTTTTCCTCCTCAGGATCAGGAACATATGTCACCTTCAATAACTGAATGCAGGTATGAACAGTCTCCCTCTACCCACGCTATCTGTAAGCCAGTGGTTGTTGTAGCCATTGTTGCCGTTTTCACTCCACAGTTATTTGGAGCTTGGGCCAGGCCCAATCTCTGAGGCCAGCTTGTGGCTGAGATGGGGCTAACTATGGCAGCACGTGCCGCACGTTTCACTTCAAGTCCACAGCAGCGACTGCTGTGACAACAGGCAGCTCTCAACCTCACCTTCTGAGTCTGCTCCTTCCACGGTTCCTTCTGCAGGAGGAGAGGCATGCTATTGGAAAGGAGAGTGAGAGTCTCCTCCAGAGTGACCCGGTGCATGGGACTGCTGCCAAGGAAGCCGGATGCCGACTCAGCTGAGCTGCAATGCCAGGGCAGCCAGCTGGCACTGAGGCCAAGAAGGAGCGGGGCCGCATGGTCAGCCCAGGCAACTACTGCTGCTGCAAATATCAGCAAAAAGAAGTCCAGAGCCTGAAATGGAAAGGGCACAAAGCTGGGTCATATGTTTTACCAATACAAAGTGACACACGTTCACACACACCGTGATGATGCAATGCTATTTTCCTCTTCATCCAACCCCTCCCTCCTCCTGCCCCATACCTATCCCAGAAGAGGAACTGGAGCACATATTCAATTTCCAAGCTTAATAAACACATTTTAGAGCATTAGCAGGTCTTTGAGGGTTTCTTTTTATGACGTCAAGGGCCCAACAATCTCCTTATTATTGCTCCGATATTTTAGCAGAAGCAAAATTTATTTAATTCCTAATCACATTGAGAGTCAAACACTCCTCTGTTTTGAAAGAGATTAAGAACTAAGAGTGATATGGCAAGAAATATTTAGATTTATTGTTATATGAGCTGGACTACAAAGTCTGTTTGAGCTGCAAGATTGGTGATTCAAGTTCACCAGCTGCTCCTGGGAAACCCTATACAGGGTCCAGGGTCGCTATGGGTCAGAACCGACTTGACGGCACTTGACAACAACAACAATATAAAGAGCTCTGGTAGCGTAGTGGATATGAATCAGGCTGTGAACCTTAGGGTCAGCAGTTCAAAACTACCAGCTGTTCTGTGGGACAAAGTTGAGGCTTTCTGCTCCTGTAAAGATTTACAGCCTCAGAAGCTATGAGTTGGAACCGACTCCACGGCACATAACAACAACAAAATATATATACACACACACACACACAGATCCTAATTCCAGTTTGTTTTTGAACTTATAACCATTTTTAAGGATCCAATTCAGTGACACTAATCACATTCATCATGTTGAACAACCATCAGCACTCTCCAGTCCTATAAGTTTTCTATCACTGCAGACACTTGGCACGACTTCAGCAATATCTGCCATGCCCTCCTTCTCCCTGTTAGCTTTTGTCCCTAGGCACTGCACGTGTGCACATCATATAAGTGGAAGGATCCAGTGAGTCTGTCCTTTTGGTTCAGGCTTACTTCACTCAGTACCGGATTCCATTTTTGAGCAAAAGAAAGCCTTTCCTCATATGTTTCTTTAGCTGTGCAGAATCCTCCATTTACATTAGACTAATGGAGAATCCTATAGATTGTGGATATGGATGACTGCTGTGTTGTATTAAAAACCAAATGGATCATTGCTGTCAATAATATAAATTCTGATTTATAGTGACCCAACAGTACAGAGCAGAAACATCACACAGGGCAGAGTGCCGTGTGAGGGGTGGTTGGTGTCAGATGTTTGATCTCCACCTTATAGGAATCAGCCTTGAGCAGATGTGGAGTTTGACTCTCCTTTCCCTTAGGGTGGTTAAGAGGAAGTCAGATGCTGCCCTCATGCCATTTTTCCGGGATCACAGACAGGAACCTTTTCAGGAGACATACTGTGTTGAGCCAGTACAGCCGCTATCCTCCCAGGTATTCTGTGGCGGCCAACACAGCACCCTGGCTTCCTTCCCTGTGCACTAGTGCCTTCTCTGTCCTGCCTGTCAGCTACCTGTCCTGTTGAAAATCTCTCTTGAAGGACAGCCATGGGGGTATCTCCAAGAGTATGGTAGTAACTCCACTTTCCTTGTGAACTCACTGTACCTTCACCAGGCCTTTTCAAAACTAAACGGGAGGAGGGAAAGAAAAGCTACAAGCAAGAGTACATTCCTCTTTCGAGAGCATCAGTATGCATTCTACATTTTAAGAGAGCTAAAGATTACTCTGAGAGATTGTACCTCATCAAGAGCCACATTCTGAACAGATGCTGACTGGTAAGCAACGTTTCGAATGTAACCCATCATGTCCAAGAGCCACTCCATTCTCTTCAGCACGCCTGAAACAAAAAGGACGCTTTCTTACCACAAGCATACAATCATGCCTCCCCCCCTTTTAAGTTTTTAATTATCAGGGATAATTAAACTTTTACGTTTTTAATTATCAGGGACAATCATACCTGGCTGCAAGGCAAAAATTTATGTTTCTCTTTTAATGTGGTAAACATATATGGAACAAAAGATTTGCCATTTCAATATTCTTCACACATACAATTCAGTTTGAAATGTACAACTGAGCAGTAATAACCACGTGGTAATTACTCCACTCAACAGCTCCACATACTTCTGCTGAATCTGAGTCTTGTATCGGAGAAGTTACCTACTAACATTGTTGTTGTTGTTATGTGCCATCGAGTCGGTTCCGACCCATAGCGACCCTGTATAGGGTTTCCGAGGGTGTAAATCTTTACAGGAGTAGAAAGCCTCATCTTTCTCCCGCGGAGCAGCTGGTAGTTTCGAACCGCTGACCTTAAGGTTCGCAGCCCGATTCGTAACCACTACGCTACCAGAGCTCCTTACTAACATTAGAGTATAGTAATTTGTCTTTAGTTTCAAAAACGAATCTAGTCTTCAAACTTATCAACCCACTAGTGATAAAATTCATTTATGTGAGTTTCTCTCTCAACATCTCAAATCTGGGATGCCAAACAGCCAGTAATGTTAAACACTTAAGTATTCCCAGCTCATGCCAAAATCACAGAGAACCATGATTCAGAGATGTAAAAGACCAGTCATTCTAGGGTAACTGGTGATGAGATGAAAAGCTCTGCTGGTCCAGTTGTTAAAGCACTCAACTGCTAACCAAAAAGTCAGCAGGATGACCCACCAGTGACTCTGTGGAAGAAAGATGTGACCGTTGGCCTCTGTAAAGACTCACAGCTTTGGAAATGATACGGGGAAATCCTACTCTGTTCTATAGGGTGGCTATGAGTTGGAATCAATTCAGTGGCAGTGATATGGTTTGGAGAACAGACATCAGCATAAATAATGATTATTTTCCCTTTTTTTGTTTTATAACAATGCAGAGTCCAAGACTGTACAGACAGAAAGGTTTTAAGAAATGTAGAGAATAAGAGCAAGAATGATAACTAGATTTGAGGGCCAGCGAGAACTCACAGCAATATCAAATCTATCCAATGTATTGCAGGTGGCTTCAAGTTTAATTGGGAACACTGAGTTTTCTTCCTGATAAATACATTTTTGGTTTAGCATAAGAATTCAGCTTTCACCACAAGTTTATTTTTCAGTGGGTAGGCACTCATGCAGAAATAGCAATCTCAATTGCCAAAGAGGAGGATGAATCAAAATGTAAAAGACATTTACAGTCATGTTCTTCCCTTAAAACTTCAGAGATTAAAAACGAGAGACGGAAAATGCGGCACAGAAGAGAAGTAGCTTGTCTAGGGTCATGAGGGTTTCTCAGCCACACTGGATTCCACAGAGCAAGGTGTCTTTCAGAATAAGAATGAATGTAGACTTGAGAAGTTATAAGCATATGACTCAAGGGATGGGAGGAGATGCCGGGGAGCTCCTTTTAGGGAGTTATTCAAGTGCAAGGTCTAAAATGGTTTAAACATTGCACCGTGGGATTCATTAGCAGGCTTCAGGCTTGGAGCTTCTAACCAGAAAATACACAACGTAGTGGTTGTCATTAAGTGCTGTCTAGTTGATTCTGACTCATAGAGACCCTGTGTAGACTTTCCGAGGCTTTAAATGTCTGTGGGAGCAGAAAGCCTCATATTTCTCCCATGGAGCAGCTGGTGGGCTTGACCCTTGTAGTTCACAGTCTAAAGCTTATCCTATGGAACCAGTGCACTCCGGCAATTTAAGAAATGCTGCTGTTGTTGTTGTTGTCAGGTGCCATCGAGTAGGAACCGACTCATAGCGACCCCGTGCACAGCAGAACAAAACAATGTCCGATCCTGGACCAACCTCCCTTCCGCTGCCACACTTGAGTCCATCAATGATGTCACCTGGCCAATCCATCTCATTGGGGGTCTTCCTCTTTTTCTCTGATCCTCCACCTTACCCAGCATGACATCTTTCTCCAGCAACTGTTCCCTCCGGACAATATGTCCAAAGTATAAGAGACAAAGCTTAGCAATCTTGGCCTCCAAGGAGCACTCTGGCTGCACTTCTTCCAAAACAGATCTATTGGTTCTTTTGACAGTCCATGGCACTTTCAGTATTCTCCTCCAACACCACAACTCAAAGGCATCAATTCTTCTATGATCTTCCTTATTCACTGTCCAGCTTTCGTATCCGTATGAGGTTATTGAAAATACCTTGGCTTGGGTCAGGCACACCTTAGTCCTCAAGCTGACATCTCTGCTCTTCAACACTTTAAAAAGTTCCTGTGCAGCAGATATGCCCAATGCAATACGTCATCTGATCTCTTGACTGCTGCTTGTTGCTAGATGCCATCAAGTCAGTTCTGGCTCATAGAGACCCTATGCACAACAGAAAAAAACACTAGACAGTTCTTTTCCAAACTCTCAATTTGGCCCACTGTCATGGTACAATCCATCTAGTTGGAGTCTTCCTCTTTTTTGCTGACTCTCCGCTTTACCAAGCATGATGTTCTTCTCCAAGGACTGGTCACTCCTGATAACATGTCCAAAGTATGAAAGACAAAGTCTTGCCATCTTGGCTTCAAGGAGCACTCTGGCTGTACTTCTTCCAACACAGATTGGTTTGAGTTTACAGCAGTCTACGGTATTATCAATATTCCTCTCCAACACCATAACTCAAATGCATCAACTTTTCTAAAGTCTTCCTTATTTATTAGCCTTCATATGCATATGAGGCTAGTGAAAATGCCATGGTTTGGGTGAAGTCCTTAAACTGACATCTTTGCTCTCAAATATTTTAAAGAGGTTTTGTGCAGCAGATATGCTTAACGCAATACGTTGTTTGATTTCCTGCCTGCTGCTTCTATGAATGTTGACACTGGCTTCAAGCAAAATTAAGCTGGATAACTTCAATCTTTTACTATTTATTCTGATTTTTATTTTTTTTACATTGAGATATGACACATACAGAAGGCTGTGGTCTTTGATCTTCATCAGTATTTTAAATCCTCTTCACTTTCAGCAAGCAAGGTTGTATCATCTGCACATTGCAAGTTGTTAATGATTCTTCCTCTATTCTAGAAATCATGTTCTTCTTCACATAATTCAGTTTCTCATGGAAAAAGAATACAACCCTAGCACACACCTTTCCTGATTTTAAACTATCTAGATCTAGTATCTCCTTGTGCTTGAACAACTGCCTTTTGGTCTATGTACAGGCTCCTCATGAACATAATTAAGTGTTCTGGAACATCCATATTTCACAAAGTTATCCATAGTTTGTCATGATCCACACAGTCGAAAGCTTTGCATATTCAATAAATCACAAGTAAACATCTTTGTGGTATTCTTTGCTTTCAGCCAAGATCCATCTGATGTCAGCAATGTTATCCCTCATTTCACATCATTGTCTGATTCCAGCGTGACCCTCTGGCAGTTCCCTGTCACTATGCTGTTGCAGCTGTTTTTTAATTATCTTCTGCAAAATTTTAATTGCATGTGATATTAATGATATTATTTAAGGACTTCTGCAATCCATTGGGTCACCTCTCTTTGGAATGAGCACAAATATGGATCTCTTCTAATATGTTGGCTGGACATCGATCTTCCAAACTTCTTGGCATAGATGAGTGAATGCCTCTAGTGCTTCACCAATTTGTTAGAATATTTTAATTTGTATTCTCTATCAGTTCCCGGAGCCTTGTTAGTTGCCTATGTTTTTAGTGCAACTTGGACTTGTTCCCTCAGTACCATTGGTTCCTGATCAGACATATGCTACCTCTTGAAAAGGTTGAAGTTTGATCTTTCCTTCCATCTTCTTTTGATGCTTTCCACATCATTCAATATTTTACCCATAAAATCCTTTAGTATTGAAAGTTGAGGCTTGAATTTTTTCTTCAGTTCTTTCAACTTGAGAAATGCTGAGCATGTTCTTCCCTTTTGGTTATCTAACTCCAGGTCTTTGCACGGTTCATCTCGAGTTGCCATTTGAAATTTTCTGTTCAGCTTGTTGCTTTAGCATCTGTGTGCTGGAGAGCAAGTTTCAGAGTCTCTTCAGAAATCCATTTGGGTCTTTTTTCTTTCTTTCCTGTCTTTTTAATGACCTTTTGCTTTCTTTCTCCTGGTACAATGTTCTTGCTATCATCCCACAACTCTTCTGATCTTTGGTAATTAGTGTCTAATTCATCAAGTCTTTCTTGAGATGGTCTCTAAATTCAGGTGTGATGTGTCCCTGGTCATATTTTAGCGTTTGTGGACTTGTTGTAATTTTCTTCAGCTTCATCCTGAACTTGCATATGAGCAATTAATTATCTGTTTCACAGTCTGTCACTGGCCTTGTCTTGGCTAATGCTATGGAGCTTTTCCACTGTATCTTCCCACAGATGTGATCATTTGATTTTTATGTGTTCCATCTGGTGAGGTCCATGTACATAGTAATTGTTTATGTTGCTTAAGGAAGGTGCTTGCAATAAGTCAGTTACTGGTCTTGCAACGTTCTATCATGAGATCTCCAGCATCATTTCTATCATCAGTGCCACATTTTCCAACTACTGACCCTTCTTCTTTGTTTCCAACCTTCACATTCCAATCACCAGGAATTATCAATAAACCTTGTTTGTCTTTTTGGTCAATTTCACACTGAAGAAGTTAGTAGAATTCTTCAATTTCATCATCACTGGCTTTACTGGTTGGTGTGTAAGACTGAAAAATAGTGGTATTAACTAGTCTTCCTTGTTACTGTCTTTAAGTGCAGTTGAGTAGGTTTTGACTCATAGAGACCCTTTACAAGATTTCTAAGGAGCCACTAGTGTGTCTGAACCACCAACTTTGTGGGGAGCAGTCCAGTGCTTATCCTGCAGCAAGACTCCCTTGTAGGTGTCTGGATATTATCCTATCACAGAAAACATTGCACTTCAAGATCTTGAAATTTTTTTTTTTTTCATTGATTAGTGCTCACCATTCCTCTTCAATTTGTCATTCTTGGCATAGTCAACTATATGATTGTGAGATTCAAAATGGCCAATAGCAGTCCATGTCATCTCACTAATGCTAAGGATACTGATTTTTACGTGTTTCATTTCATTTTTGACTACTACCAATTTTCCCACATTCATACTTTGTACATTCCATGTTCTGATTGTTAATGGATGTTTGCAGCTATTTTTCCTCATTTTGAGCAAATGAAAGTCCAGAAAGCTATACTTCATTCATGAAATCATAACAAACTCTACTTTGAGGAGGCAGATCCTCCCCAGTCACATTTTGAGTGATTTCCAACCCGAGGAGCTCATCTTCTAGTACTATATCTGACAATATTCCACCAATATCCATAAGATTTTCAGTGGCTAAACATTCAGAAGTAGTCCACCTACCCTTCTTCCTAGTCTGTCTTTGCCAGGAATCTTAGCTGAAAACTGTCTACCATGGGTGACTCTGCTTGTATTTAAAATACCAGTGGCATAGCTTCCAGCATCATAGCACCATGCAGGTCACCACAGTACAACAAACTGACAGACGAGTTATGGCAGATGGGGCTTGTTGTTGTTGTTATTAGATGCCCTAGTCAGTTCCAAGTCATAGCGCCCTTACATACAACAGAAGGAAGACTGCCCAGTCCTGCGCCATCCTCACAGTTGTTGCTACACTTGATCCCATTGTTGCTGTCACTGTGTCAATCCATCTCGTTGGGGGTTCCTCTTTTTCACTGACCTTCCACTTTCCCAAGCATGATGTCCTTCTGCAGGGACTGATCCTGTCTAATACGTCCAAAGCATAAGTGACAATCTCGCCATTCTGGCTTTCAAGGAGCATTCTGGCTGCACTTCTTCCAACACAGATTGGTTTGTTCTTCTCGAAGTCCATGGTATTTTTAATATTCTCCAACACCATAACTCAAATACATAAATTCTTCTATGGTCTACCTTATTTATTGTCCAACTTTCACATGCATATGAAGCTACTGAAAATACCATGGCTTGGGTAAAGCACACCTGTCTTCAAACTGACATCTTTGCTCTTGAACATCTTAAAGAGGTCTTGTGCAGCAGATTTTCCCAATGAAATACGTCATTTGATTTCTTGACTGCTGCTTCCATGAGTGTTGATGTTAGATCAACAAAATGATGTCTTTGACAGCTTCTAAATTTTCTCCATTTATCATGATGTTATTTATTGCTCCAGTGGTGAGGATTTTTGTTTTCTTTATACTGAAGTGCAATCCATATAGAAGGCTATGGTCTTTGATCTTCATCAATAAGTATTTTAAGATGTCTTCACTTTCAGCAGGCAAGGTTGTATCATCTGCATATTGCAGGTTGTTAATGAGTCTTCCTCCATCCTCATATAATCCCATTTCTCAGATTATTTGCTCAACACACAGGTTGAATATGTATGGTGAAAGAATACAACCCTGGTACACACCTTTCCTCATTTTAAAGTATTCACTGTCCTCTTGTTCTGTTTGAATGACTGACTCTTGGTCTATGTACAGGTTTCTCATGAGCACAATTAAGTGTTCTGCAATACTCATTCTGTACAATGTTGTCCAAACCTTGTCATGATCCACACAGCTGAAAGCCTTTGCTTAGTCAATAAAGCACAGGTAAAGATCTTTCTGGTACTATCAGCTTTCAGCCATGTTGTAGGTAGGGAAGCTAAACATTATTATCACCCCTGCAAAATCCTGTATAGAACAGCAATTTAATTTTGTTGTCACTATTTTTTTATCAGTTAAACGACCATGTACAAGCCATTTTCCTTAAGGCATCAAGTAGAATCTATGTACATATTGTCTGTTAGGGAAACTGAAGTTAAGCAGGATGCAGTAACCTGGTAAATATCTCTGTGAGAGTCTGAAGGGCCAAATGCAATGAAAATCCCTCAAAAGAATTTATTCCCATCTCCAAAAAGTAGATGTGCTAAGGTCTAGCTGCGCATTTCCATTCAAGGGGCTCCTTAGGGTATGAAGAAGATCTAACCTGTTTCACCCCTGTGCTGAGCACGATTTTCCCAAGAAGCTAGTTTAGAAGCTGAGACAATGACAACTGCAAAGGGACAGGAGGTTGCAAACATTTCTGTTGCTGACGCATATGCAGATGGGTCTTACCTGTGTTGGTGTGGCTCACGATCCGTGCATGGTATAAGCTGTGCAGCATCAGCCAGGCCAGTGTCTCCTTATCCTGGTGCTGCACAGCCACACTGAGGATGTCAGTCAAGTGCATCATGGGGAACCGTCCTTGAGAGATTAAGTACAGTTTGACAAAGGCAGCCTTTTCTATGTTGTCCTGTAAAAAAGACAAATTGTTTGGTTACTATTCAATGATCTGAAGGGGCTACAGAACCCTTGAGGCAAGGACAAAAACAGAAAGGGCCAGTCTGAAATTGACTACTACTCTAAATGCTGTATCTGTTTATTTCCTGCAATATGTGGACTGCATGCTTAGGTGTTTTATTAAAATAACCATACACAGAGAGGGTTATACTATCACTTCGTCTTTTTACACATAACAAAATCACCAATGTGATCAGGTGTTAGGGGGTGATGATTTTTAGTGACCCAAATCCACTGGTGTCCAGCCAATTCTGACTCCCAGTGACTCTATAGGACACAGCTGAGCAGCCCCAAAGGATTTCCAAGGCTACAGATTGTCAGGAAGTGGATTGCCACATCTTTCTCCTGCAGAGTGACAGGTGGGTTAGAACGGCCAACCTTTCCGTTGGCAGCTGAGCACTTAACCACTGTGCCACCAGGACTCACTGATATTTTTACTAAGCATGCATAAATAATCAAAACAAAAACAACAAATGCAGTACTTAAGCATGTGTCTAACATCCCTTCTAAGCACTTAAGAGCACTTCTTGAAAGTATGGTATGTGGTTCCCTAAGGGACCCCCAAACTCATTTTAGAGGACCTATGAGTTCAAAATTATTTTTATAGTACTACTAAGACATTTCCAGCCTTTTCCACTCTGTTCACATTTATCCTCATAATTCTCAAACAAAGACAGGTAAAGTACCAGCCCCTGAGCATGAATCAAGATGGCAGCAGAAATGTACCAGTATTCACTGTGTTCTTCACCGACACTCACAGGCCAAACAAAGCAAAGCACAACCAATGAGTGTCACTGAAAATGTTCTTGTGGCAGCTGTAAGATGATTAATTTTATGAAACCTCCACCCTTGAGTCCTGGTGTGGCACTGTGGGTTAATGTGGTGGATGACAAAGCTGGCATGAACTGTGAATTCGGCGGTTCAAGCTCACTAGTCGCTCCTCGGAAGCCCTATACAGGGTCACTATGGGCCGGAGCTAACTTGACAGCACTTCACAACAACCCTTGAGTACATATCTTTTGAATCCTTTATGTAACAAAATGGGAATGCATGCATAGGGCGTCTATTATGTGCCCAAGTACAATGGAGGCCTCAATAAAGAACACTTGTAAGATTCAAGTGAGAGAGGAAGTAGCCACTTTTTTCATGGATCACCATTTACTTGACAGAATGACTGGCAAACTATGGCAATTCAAACTGCGTATTGGACAGATTTCTTTCTTAAACTTGAGGGAAGTGAGCCCATCACTTCAAGTCAGACATCCGATAGTATTTGTTGCCAAAGATAAAATATTAGCTTTCAAGTGAAAAGTTCGAGTTTTGGACAATTTTTATCTACTATCCCATGAGCAAAGCAGTCCTGGTGATGTTGTTATTAAGTGCTCAGACAGAACCAAAGGTTGGGACAGAAGTGGCAGCCTGCTTCCATACAGATTCAGACCTGGTAACCTATGGGACACTTCTACCCTGTTTCATAGGGTCGCTGTGAGTCAATATTAACTTGATAGCAGTAGGTTTGTATTTTTGGTTGACCATGATGGACTTGGCAGCTTTCTAATACGTAAAGACTTTTCTGATAATCTTTCTGGTGATTTTTTAATCAAATATGATGCTTTCTTATTACATAATAATAAAGGAGTCCTACCATGGCACTGTAAGTTAAGCACTGGATTATTAACGGCAAGGTTGGTGGTTCAAACCTATGAGTCTCTCCTTGGAAACCCTATATGAGGTCGCTATGAGTCAAACTTGACTTGACAGCATTTAACAATGATAAATTGTTGTATAATGCAAAATATCCACATGAGGAAGATCTTAAAAACTCAGTGCTCCAGTATTTTCCAAAGAACTAATGTGTGCAGTTACAAAATCATGCATGGGTAAAGAACCACGGTGTGAGCTGAACAGAATATGTGAAATTCATTGGTATAGTTTCAGATGCTACATTCCAAGGTACCTTTAAGAAGCTATCACCTATTGCGTTTTAGTACCAAAGAAGGACAACCACAATCATCTGAAAACTATGAACATGCTTTACCCCTACATATGTGCATGGGGCTAGATTTTCTTCATATACTTCTCCCAGATGACACCAGAGCAGGCTGAATGACGCACCAGCTCTGACAATCCAGCTGACTTCTATTAAGTCACACGTTGAAAAGATTTTCAAAGATGTAAAACAATACTATTTTGTTCACTCATTTTCTTTTTTTTATAATTTCTTCTTATTTATGTTAACAAGTAATAGGTTCATTCTTATTATTTTGGAGTACATAAATATTGAAAAATTCTTGATGTTAATTTCTAGTATGATAAATGTTAACATATATAGCCCTGGAGTTGTCCTGGAGTCCCGGTGTGGCACCGTGGGTTAATGCATTAGACTGTGAGGTCAGTTTGAACCGCAAAGTCAGCGATTCAAGCTTACCAGCTGCTCTTTGGAAACCCTATACAGGGTGACTATGGGATGGCTCTGACTCGACAGCACTTAACAACAACAAAGTTGCCCTAAGACCAGAAACTTCAAAACCACTGCAGTAAAATATATTTCCACATTAACTTTATGTAGTAAATGAATTAGAAGTCAAGAAATTTAAGCTTTTCACCACTAGCTTATTCTTAGCTCAACTCATCCCAGAAATGGATAGGTAACTCTGACCTTAGTGTTGCCATTGTTAGGCTGTTAGGGTCTGTTGTATATAAGGCCGCTAGCCGACTCATAGCGACCTTATATACAACAGAATGAAACACTGTCTGGTCCTGCGTCATCCTCACGATTGTGGTCATGCTTGAGTCCTATTGCTACCACTGTGCCAATCCATCTCACTAGGGGTCTTCCTCTTTTTCGCTGACCCTCCACTGTCCCAAGAATGATGCCCTTCTTCAGAGGCTGATCCCTCCTAACATGTCTAAAGTACAAGAGACAAAATCTTGCCATCCTCACATACAAAAAAGCATTCTAGCTGTACTCCTTCCAAGACTGATTTGGTTGGTCCTCTATCAGTCTATGGTACTTTTGATACTCTTCTCCAACACCATAATCCAAATGCATTGACATGTCTCTTGTCTTCCTTTCTTATAGTCCAATTTTCATATGGCTATGAGCAAATACCATGGCTTGGGTATTTTTGCTGTTAATATCTCTGCTTCTGAACACTTTAAAGAGGTGTCTGACAGCAGATTTGCCTAATATATCATTTGATTTCTTGACTGCTACTTCTATCAACATTGACTATGGATACAAGCAAAAAGAAGTCTTGGACAACTTTAATCTTTTCTCTATTTATGAGTCCAGTGATGATTTTTGTTTTTGTTTTTTACACTGAAGGTTATCATCTTTTATCTTTATCAACATGTCAAGTCCTCTTCACTTCAGCTATGTGTGATCTGCAGATCGCTGGTTGTTAATGATTCTTCCTCCAGTCATGATGTCATGTTCTTCACATAATCCAATTTCTCAGATTATCTGCTCAGCATACTGACTGAATAAATACGGTGAAAGGATACAACCCTGGCGCACACCTTTCCTGATTTTAAAGAATTCGGTATAGCTTTATTCTGTTCAAATGACTACCACTTGGTCTATGTACAGGTTCCTCATGAGTACAATGAATGTTCTGGAATACCCTGACCTTAGTATAACACACCAACTCTTTTTGGGGCCATCAGGTGTTGTAAATGGTACTCTAGGAACCAAGAGAATAACACAGCAACATTTAACTCAAGGTATCAAGAAATAAATTATATGCATTACTTCCAACTATATCATGGAATTAACTTAATGGCAATTAACAATAATATATTACATGGATGTAATAATATTATACAACGCATTGTGTATTATGTAATAACATTATACAATAATAATATACAACAGATATTGTTGTTGTTGTTGTCAGGTGCCATTGAGTCGGAACCAACTCATAGAGACCCCAAGCACAGCAGAACGAAACAATGTCCGATCCTGGGCCAACCTCACTACCGCTGCCACACTTGAGTCCATCAATGATGCCACCTGGCTGATCCATCTCGTTGGGGGTCTTCCTCTTTTTCTCTGACCCTCCATCCTACCCAGCATGACATCCTTCTCCAACGATTGTTTCCTCCGGACAATATGTCCAAAGTAGGAGAGATGAAGCTTAGCCATCCTGGCCTCCAAGGAGCACTCTGGCTGCACTTCTTCCAAAACAGATCTATTGGTTCTTTTGGCAGTCCATGGCACTTTCAGTATTCTCCTCCAACACCACAACTCAAAGGCATCAATTCTTCTACAATCTTCCTTGTTCACTGTCCAGCTTTCACATCCATATGAGGCTATTGAAAACACAATGGCCTGGGTCAGGCGCACCCTAGTCCTCAAGCTGACATCTCTGCTCTTCAACACTTTAAAAAGTTTCTGTGCAGCAGATTTGCCCAGTGCAATACGTCGTCTGATCTCTTGACTGCTACTTCCGCTAGTGTTGATAGTTGATCCAAGAAGAATGAAGTCCTTGACAACTTCAATCTTTTCTCCATTGATAAGAATGTTGTTTATTGGTCCAGTGGTGAGGATTTTTGTTTTCTTGACATTGAGATGTAATCCATATCGAAGGCTGTGCTCTTTAATCTTCATAAGTAAATGTTTCAAGTCCTCTTCACTTTCAGCGATCAAGGTTGTATCATCTGCATATCGCAGGTTGTTAATGAGTCTTCCTCCAATCCTGATGCCACGTTTTTCTTCACAGAACCCAGCTTCTCGTATTATTTGCTCAGCATACAGGTTGAATAAGTATGGTGAAAGCATACAACCCTGTCTCACACCTTTCCCAATTTTAAAACATTCAGTGTTCCCATGTTCTGTTCGAACAACTGCTTCTTGGTCTAGGTACAGATTTCTTAGAGGCGGCACAGGAGGCACTCACTCATCTCTGCCAAGAAATTTGGAAGACAACTGTCTGGCCGACTGATTGGAAGAGATCAATGTTTATGCCCATTCCAAAGAGAGGTGACCCAACAGAAGGCGGAAATCATCAGACAATCTCTTTGATATCTCAAGCGAGCAAAGTTTTGCTAAAGGTAATACAGAAACGGCTACAATCATACATTGACAGAGAACTTCCAAAGGTTCAAGCTGGATTCAGAAGAGGCCGTGGAACGAGAGATATCATTGCTGATGTCCGATGGATCTTGGCTGAAAGCAGAGAATATCAGAAGGATGTTTACCTGTGCTTTATTGACTATGCAAAGGCTTTCGATTGTGTGGATCATGACAAGCTATGGACAACATTGAGAAGTATTAGTATTCCAGAACAACAGATATTACATGGATGTAATAATATTATACAATATATTGAGTATTATGTAATAATATTATACAATAATAATATACAACAGATATTACATGGATGTAATAATATTATACAATATATTGAGTAATTATGATCATAAATAATTGCCTAGTACTTGTCCTGTGCCAGGCACTGCTCTACCTACTTAACATGCAATTAAGAGGCAGATGCTATTATTATCTCCTCCTTACAGATGAGGAAACTGAGGCAAAGAGAGATTATAAAACCTCAGGTCACGCTGCTAGTAAATTTCTGTTGTTTAGTGCCTCTGTGGTGATTCTGTAATCTTTTATGGTAACAGATTGCCAGGGCTTTCTCCCACAGAGCCACTGGTTGGGTTCGAAACACCAACTTTTTGGTTAGTAACAGAGACTCTAACCATGGTGCCACCAGGGCTGGTAAATGTGAGAGCTGGCTTTAAAGACCTAAGCCATGAGGCTCCAGAGTGCACTCTTACAACCATTTTCTTATACGATTGCTTCATATGACGTCACCCTACTTTGTCCAAAAGGTGTGAGAACAGACTACGCTTTCCATGTACCAGAAGGTTCTTTGGTCAGTATACTCCCGGTCAATAGACTTCATAATGAAGACGTTTTCATGTACTTATTTTTGTCCATAAAAATCAACCACTATCAAGCTGACTGTGATTTAGGTGACCCATGTGAATCACAGAACTATACTGCGTAGAGTTTTCAAGGGCTCTTTTTATTTTTCAGAAGTAGGTTGCCATGTCTCTGGGTAGACTAGAACTTACCACCATTTGGTTAGCAGCAAAGAGTATTAGCCATTTGCACCACCTAGGGACCCCATTTTTGTTTATTTGTTTACAGGTGACACTAAGATTTTTTTTTGACAAAATTGAGTTAAAAAGTTATTCATCCAGCTTTCCATCCACACCACCTTCTCGCCATTCATACCACATTTATTAACCACCAATCAAGCTATTAGGCCCAACACTAGACCCCAAACAGAAAGGTAAAATAATAAAATGAATGAGAAACAAATATGAAGTAAACTAGCTTCATCTAAAATGATATTGTAATCATGTCTTCAATTGTAAATTTCACCCCAGAAATGGAAAAAAAAAAACCAAAAAAAAAAAAAAAATGTGCATGCTATTACCTTAGTAACCCGGGCAATTCGGTTGGCATCATCATCAGTCATTTCCGAGAGGCATTTTGCTACACTGATATACAGCTCGATTTCATTTCTCTGGTAAAGAAAATTCCCCCGCCTGTTAGAATACATTGTGATGTAACACAGCAATTCTCAATGCTCAATTACATTATTAGATATATTTCCAGGAATCTCAGCTGATGAGTTTCTATTTTAACCAAACCAATACATATGACGAATTTTTTTATGATTTTAAAATATCTTTTGTTATCTTATATATTTGTTTGTCTGTGATTTTTTATTTATTTATTTATTTATTGGCTTGTTTAGTAGAATTTTGTCATTCCAAATAGCATTTGAACCTCTTTATAGCACTAATACTTGGAGGTGGTCTGTTGGGGAAGAGGATGGAGAAGGGCTCATATTCAGAACCTGATATACACAGTGTACTGGACTCGATGCCCAAGGATTCTCCAGGTAGCAGGTAGAAGGATTTCTCAACTTGCTCATCATCTACAAACACTTGGTTAAAAGGCCTGGCAGCAAATTTCATGGTGCTGCACTGGTTAACCTGCTTCTGAGCCTGCTCAAAACTTTGGTTCTAAATAGCCAATCAATGTAGATCTTGAAAGCAAACCCACTCTTAGTAAAGAATGTGGCCTTTCCACCCATGTTCTTAAAACATACACCTCCCTGGTTTGCCAAAAAAGCTTTAAAAAAATCCCAAGCATAAATTATCAGGACTGTAAATATTTTTTTTCCTCACCCGAATCTTATTTGGCAGAAGGTCAAAAATTTTCCTAACAGCGTCACTGAGCAGACTCCAGAGGTGGTGTGCAGGACTGGGCAGTTTCATGGCCTGGCTCAAACCCTGTAAGGCATTCTGGCATAGCTCAGCACTTGAAATGGGGGGAGCGGCTTGAAAAACTGCCACCATTACATTTTCAACAAAAGCCAGGATCTGTTCCTCAGACACGTGTTTTATCCACAGAGGTGCAGATACCAGGAGGTATTTCTTGATACTCAGCTAGAAGCAAAACAGAAGAGTTCAGATGTAAACAGACAAGTCAACGTTTACAATGCTCAAAACCAGCAGGTCACCATTGTGTTTGAGGGTCACATGAGAGATAAAAGGTTCAGGTTACACCCTTATCCTCCATTTCCCCATAGCTTCATGGTCCAATGGGCCACCAATGTGGGAGCATTTGACTGTTGCTGTTTCTTCTGATCCATACCAGGGTGACTCATGTGTATATATGGGATCTGCTAATCCATCTGTGAACCACTCAGTGTAAATCTTGGATCTTTTCAGTGAGGGAAATAAACGTTACTTCTGAAAGTACTGACAGTTGCTGTTCAGTTTTTAAAGGTAACATTCCCTGGCAAGAACAGCCTTGAAGACCAAACAGCTCGAGAGTGCCGGAAAGTTAGTATTAGTTTCCTCTATTTTGAAATACCAAGACCTCTATCCGAAACCCTACACAGGATCGCTATAGTTGGCACTGGCTCAAAGGTACTTACCAACAACAGCCCAAGAGCTTAACAAAAATAGTGTTTAGATTATCATCTAATGATTTTATTAATCAGCAATCAGTTTATATCCATTAAGGAAGAACAGCTGAGTCTAAGAGCGTTGAATAATTAGTGCTGGTGTGGCGCTGTGGGTTAATGTGCTGGACTGTGAAGCCAGTTTGAACTGCAAGGTCAGCGGTTCAAGATCACCAGCCGCTCCTGGGAAGCCCTATACAGGGCCATTATAAGTCGGAAATGACTCGATGGCACTTAACAACAACAACAAACTTGGTTAAGGTTTCACAGGACTTATTCTGAAATCCTAACATTTGACAACTCATGAATATAGATCCTTGCTCAAATGAAGGAAGGGAAGCCCATTTAAACTGCTCTGTAGCAAAGAGCACAACACAGTGGGTAAGAACTTGGATCCTGGAAACAGATCACTCAAGTTCAAACCTAGTTCTGCCATTTATTTATTAGCTATGGAACTTTGGGCAACTTACTTAACTTCTCTGTGACTCAATTTCAAAAATGGGAGCATATTGATAGTGTTCACTCATTATGAGTTGTGGTAAAAATAAATTGGTTCAAATATGTAAAGTGCCTGGAACATAGTGAACACTCAGTGACTGCTGAATATCATGGTTAGGCTATTGTTAACACCTTCGTCCAAGAATCTGGAACCAAGTCCTTCAACCTTATTAAACCTATAGACATCTGCTGGAATACATTCAACTAAAAGATGATCTGACATTAATTCCTTTTTCTGAGAAGTAAGAGTAACTGGCATACTGGGATCATTTGAGCAAAGAATCAGATGAAGATATGCATACAATAGAAAAAGGCATTTTAGAGTTCATGAAAGCCAAGATGGAACACAATAAGTAATAGCTCTGTTATGTACTATACATTTTAGCAGAATGAGCTCAAAATTCTTGGAAACATAAGTATGATACTAATGAGCAGCAAGTTTGAAAGAAGTAGTCTTAAAAATAAAAGCTGAGAAACGATATACGAAAGAATGAACGTAAAACTAATGTTCTCCCATGTAAACTATCACATAACTCACAATAAGACTTTAAATAAATAAATAAAAGCTGACAATAAAATCTGTACATTTCTAAAATAGTTGAACATCGACCAATTCTTTTTGGTACAGTAACTGTGTATTCCTTCTATCTTCTCTTGGCGCTTCCTGCAGGGTTCTATATTTTGCCTATGTTGTTGTTGTTAAGTGTCACCAAGTCAATTCTGACTCACAGACACCCTGTGTATGGTTTCTGAGGAGTGACTGGTGGGTTTGAACCACCAACCTTCAGGCTAACAGTCTACTGCTTATCTTATAGTACTGTATCCTTCAGAATTGCAACTTGAGGTGTGAATTTTTTCTTTAGTTCTCTCAGCTTGAAAAATACTGAACATGTTCTCAACGTTTAGTTTTCTAACTCTGGTCTTTGCATGTTTCATAATACTTTGTCTTCTCGAGCAGTTCTTCGAAATTTTTGTTCAACTCTTATGTTTCATCATTTCTCCCATTCACTTAAACTACTTTATGTTCAAGAGCAGGTTTGAGTCTCTTCAGAAATCCACTCTGGTCTTTTCTTTCTTTACTGTATTTTTAATGATCTTTTGCCTTCTTCATATATAATATTCATTCCACAACTCCTTTGGCCTTCAGTCATTAGTGTTCAATGCGTCAAACAGTTCTTGAGATGATCTCTATATTCATGTAAGATGTACTAATGTCATATTTTAGCTCTCATAGACATGTTTTAATTTTCATCAGCTTCAGTCTGAACTTGCATATGTGCAACCGATGGTCTGTTCCACTCAGCTCCTGACCTTTTTTTGGCTGAGATATTGAGCTTCTCCAGTGTCTCTTTCCATAGTTAGTGGACTTGATCCTTACATAGTCCATCTGGTGAGGTAAAAGTGTATAGTTGCTGTGTATGTTGTTGAAAAAAAAGGCACTGATAATGAGTAAGTTGTTGGTCTTGCAAAATTCTATCATGTAATATCCAGCATTGTTTCAAACACCAAGACTATAGTTTCCAATCACCAATTCTTCTCAATTGCCAACTTTCACATTCCAATCACCAGTAATTATCAATACATTTTGATGGCATGTTTGATGAATTTCAGACTGCAGAAATTGATTGAATTCTTTAATTTCCTCATCACTGGCATGAGTAGTTGGTGAGTGAATTTGAAAACAGTTATATTAACTGGCTTTCCTTGTGTTGCTGTTAAGTATCATCATGCCAATTCCAATGTACAGCAACCCTATGTAAGGTTTCTAAGGAAAGACTGATGGGTTTGAACCACTGACCTTGTGGTTAACAGTCCAGTGCTTATCGTACAGCATCACACCATAGCTCCTAAGATTTCCCTTGTAGGCATATGATGTTATCCTATTACAGATAGCTAGATCCTGAGATACACTTTTTGAAGATAATGTGGCACCATTCCTCTTCGTGATTCACAGCATAGTAAGCCATATGACTGACTCCAAATAGCCAATACCAGTCCAATTCAGTTCATTAATGCCTAGGATATCAACCTTTATAGTGTTAGGTTTATATTTAAGTCTTTGATCCATCTTAAATTAGTTTTGTTGTGTATGTTGTGAGGTATGGGTACTGCTTCATTTTCCTACACACAGACATCCAGTTTTGCCAGCACCAAATATTGAGGCTGTCTCGTCCCAATTTAATGGAATTTAGCTCTTTATCAAAGACCAGCTATCTATTAATAGATGCATTTATGTCAGGATTCTCAATTATGTCTCATTCGTCTATGTGTCTGTTGATTGGCCAGTACTAGGCTATCTTGCCTTAAATGACTGTAGAGTAAGTAGGTTCTGAGATCAGGAAGTGTGAGGCCTCCTACCATGTTCTTTTTCTGCAATAATGTTTTATGATTCCAGGCCCTGTTTGCTTGCCAGATAAAATTGATTATTAGCTTGTCCATCTCATTAAAAAATGCTATTTCAATGTGGATTGGGGTTGCATAGTATCTTAGGTCACTTTGGCTAGTATTGACATTTCACACTGTTAATTCTTCCTATCTATAGGAATGGATGCTTTCCCATATATGTAGGGCTCATTTTCATCACTTTTCTGTTAGTATGTTGTACTGTGGTGGCTTACTATGATGCTGGAAGCTATGCCATCAGTATCTTAAATACCAGCAGGGTCACCATGGGGAAAGGTTTCAGCTGAACTTCTAGACTGTGAGAGACTAGGAAGGAGAGGTGGACTACTTCTGAACATTTACCCACTGAAAAACTTATGAAGAGCAGAGGAACACTGTCAGATATAGTGCTGGAAGATGAGCCCCTTGGGTTCGAAGGTATTAAAAATATGAATGGGAAGGAACTGCCTGTTCAAAGTAGAGTTGACCATGATAATGTGAATGGAGTAAAGCTTGAGGGACCCTCATTTGCTGATGGGGCACAACTCAAAATGCGGAGAAACAGTTGGAAACATCATTAATAATCGAAACATGGAATGTACAAAGTATGAATCTAGGAAATTTTGAAATTGTCAAAAATAAAATGGAATGCATAAATATCGATATCCTGGGAATCAGTGAGCTGAAATGGACCGGTATTGGCCTTTCTGAATCAGACAGTCATATGGTTGACTGAGCTGGGAATGACAAATTAAAGATGAATGGTGTCACATTCATCATCAAAAAGATTATTTCAAGATTCATCTTGCAGTACAATGCTGTCTGATATTGAATAATACCTATGTCCTGGTGTGCTATAGTATTAGCACTGGACTGCTAACCACAAGGTTGGTTCAAGCTTACCAGCCGCTCCTTGGAAACCATAGACCAAACTACATAGACAAAGAGGCAGTCATTCAAACAGAACAAAGGGATATTGAATGGTTTAAAATCTGGAAAGGTGTGCACCAGGGTTTTATCCTTTCACCATACTTATCCAATATGCACAATGAGCAAATAATCTGAGAAACTGGATTATATGAAGAAGTGATCAGGATTGGAAGATTCATTAACAACTTTGGATATGCACACGATACAACTTTGCTTGCTGTAAGCAAAGAGGACTTAAAAAAATCAAAGACCACAGCCTTCAGTATAGATTGCACCTCAATGCAAAGAAAACAAAAATCCTCACAACTGGACCAATAAATAGCATCGTGATAAATGGAGAAAAGACTGAGGCTGCCAAAGACTTCATTTTGCTTGGATCCATAATAAACAGTTATGGAAGCAACAGTCAAGAAATCCAACAACATATTGCATTAGGCAAATCTGCTGCACAAGATCTTTTTAAAGTGTTCAAAAGCAGAGATTAGTTTGTGTACTATAGTGTACCTAACCCAAGCCATGAAAATTTCAATTGTCTCATATGCATGTGAATGTTGAGCAATGAATAAGGAAGACCACAGATGAATTGATACATTTGAGTTATGGTGTTGGAAAAGGATATGAAATGCCAGAAGAACAAACAAATCTGTGTTGGAAGAAGTACAGCCACAATGCTCCTTAAAATGAGCATGGTGAGATTTCATCTCGCATACTTCAGACATGCTGTCAGGAGGGACTCGTCCCTGGAGAAGGATGCCACGCTTAGTAATTAAGAAAGATTTTTTTTAGTCTGTATTCAGGGACAAATGCAAAAGAGTATTTTACACCTAAGAGTGGGGTGAAACGAAAACGAAAATCTAGAAAAATTCCTGGGATTAAGGAAACAGTCTATTAGAGCCGTGCCTGATATAAAAGGAATTAACAGATTTACAATGTGGACTTTACAGTCAGGCATATCTAACTTTCTGACTTACTACATAGTAAATAATTTCCATTTGCCTTAGTTTATCTACATGCAAACTGGAAATCACAGAATCTATTTATCAGAAGTAAAATAAGCTAGACACAAAAGACTTTTTGTATAGTTCCATTATAAATAATTTCTAATGGAATTATATGAAATACAAATTTAAATGAAATTTCTTTAGAAAAGGTAAGATTATAGACAGAAAACAGATAAGTGGTGTCTGTGTGCTAGGTTAGGAATAGAGATTGAATACAAACAGGCACAGTGGAAATTTGAGGGGAGGGTCAAGGAAGTATTCTTGATGCTGACTGAAAATCTATCAATTTACTGAAACTCATCAACTTACATGAACTACGAAGGGACTTCAAAAAGTTTGTGGGAAAAGAATGAAAAATTTCCAGAAGCTTTATGAAGTTCCCTGATATTTTATCATCTATAAATAAAAATGCAATAAAGCTATTAACAAGTTTACCTTTCTGGTTGTTGAGAGACTGTGTCTGCTGTTGATAAGTACTGAGTGTTTAAAGGTATTATGTACATAGCCAGTGCTCAGAAAGCAGAAGCTATATGGGAGCTTCTGGGAGCGTACAGGCAGAATAGCATCAACAGCTAACAGAAGGGATGCAGACCTCAGTAACATCCATCTTCCATCACAAAGAGTTAGGAGGAATGGGAAAGGGCAAAAGCAAAACAAAACAAGATACAAATAAGATAGGCACTAAAGACAAGACCATGAAGAAATATTACCAGGGCATTAGACTATTCTTGGAGTTTGGGCGTGGCACTGCAGGATAATGCACTGGATCGCAAGGTCAGTTTGAACTGCAAAGTCGGAGGTTCAAACTCACCAGCCACTCCTCAGAAACCATATACAGGGTCACTATAAGTCAGAATCGACTTGATGGCACTTAACAAAACAGAACAGAGTATACTTAAAGAATTAAAGCTTCCTAGAACAGAATAGCGGGCCAGATTATAGAGAAAATTAAAAGATAACACATTATAAAATCATGCAGTGTGTGCTTTTGGTCTGAGCTTGTAATGTACTGAAAATTATATATCTTTACTAATTTCACATCTTTAAAAAATGGCACCCCATTTGTCCTACCTATCTTTAATCTCTACCCTGGAAGGTGTTGGCCCCTCTAACATAAATACCAGGCTGAATCACTTCTGGGGATGTTCTCAGCTATTCACCTACACCATCTCCACTGATAGCCTCGGGGGCCTTTAACTTGATGCCCAAACAAATCCTATCAAGTCTTCAAAGCTCAACTAATTGCTGCTTCCTATGTGGAAGGGAAGGACCATACATGGATAAGTCCAGTGTTTGTGGGTCTTTCTCTTAAGAGCCACTGGAATGTTTACATCTACTATATAATTAATAAACCTAGGTTCAAATAGCTCCTTAACTTTCTACCTGTATGGTCCTGAGAAAGGAACTTTTATACTTCTGATCACCAGTTTTGTTTTTTTTCTTTCTTGGTTTGTTTCAAAATGTTGTTGTTGTTGTTAAGTGCCGTCAAGTTGGTTCTGACCGATGGCGACCCTGTACAGGGTTTCCAAGGCTGTAAATCTTTACAGAAGCAGAAAGTCTCATCTTTCTCCCATGGAGCGGCTGGTAGTTTCGAACTAGTAACCTTAAGGTTCGCAGCCTAATTCATAACCACTACACTACCAAGCTCAGACTACAAATTCCTAGTTTGTGAATTCTCAGCCAAATAATGGTTAAAAAGGCCTAGCGGTGTGGTTGGCATACAATTAATAAAATAGCAACTGGTAATCAAGGGCTATGCCCAGAGAGATCCAAGGAATGTTTTTTGATTAATGTGGATTGATTATATAAGAAAACACGTAGTTCCTGTGCTCTGGAATTCTGATACGTTGCCCAAGTTTTCCAGTCAGTACCTTAGAATGCCAAACATGAATGCCAATGGTCATGGTCAGATTCTGAATCAGTGAATTTTCCAATTTGCTGGCCAGCTGCTTGTCAAGCCCCCTAATTTCTGAAACTCCCATTTGTCCATTTTTGATTTTGAGCACACGCGCACACACATGAATGTTAATATCCCCAAGGGCAGCATCTCCTCCTGTTGCCCAGTGCCCTTAATTACACATACACTCAGATTATGGGTTAGTGGCGGCATCACCCACAAGCCCAAGAGCGCAGCTGCATTCTGCGATGACTGTGCCTGGGTCACCATAATTTCAAGGCACAGCTGCTGTATCTCTTCACCTGAAAGACAGGAAAAGAAAAGAATCTTTGTAATATAGTTGCCTCTCTGCCTCAAATCGTAATATCTGTGTGACTTCTGTAGGTAAGAGAGTAGTCCTGTAAAATCAGTATTTTGAGGGTCCTTTTTAGTTATGAGGTGAAAATAGTGTCCACTAGAGTGAGAATACCAAGCCACCTTCGAACTAGCAGGGGCTTGTTTGGATTTGATAGGAAGATTTTTCTTATAATATTAAGAGAAACCTAAGTACTAAGTGCAGGAGACAGATGAGGCTTTCTACTCCCGTAAAGATTTGCAGCTTCAGAAACCCTGGACAGGGTTGCTATGAGTCGGAACCGACTCCACGGCACACAACAACAACAAGTACTCAAAACCTAAAAAAATTTGAGAAAATTCTAATATAAAAGTCCCCTTGTCTTTGTTTTCCCCAATTTTTACTTTATAACCAGTTGTTGTTTTGTTAAGTGCCATCTAGTCAGTTCTGACTCATAGCAGCCCTGTATAGGGTTTTCAAGGAGTGGCTGATGGGTTTGAACCACTGACATTGTGTTAGCAGTCTAGTGCTTATACTATAGCTACAGCATTCTATATAGATCTGAAATGACTTAAAAATGAAGACACAGTCACTAGCATCAAGTAGTGGAAACAACATCGAACTAGTCTGATTCCCATCAGCAGAGTTACTTTTCCAACCAGGACTTTCCTTCTTCCCCTCGCCTTTCCCTCCCCATCAAGAATTTTAACTGATGCAGTTTCAGAACAGCACACAAAAGCAAAGGAGGGCCACAGAAATATACTTTATGAATGAAGCATGTTGACATATTTTACACAAGGGTTAAGTTCAACTAAAAGCATTTAATTAAAAAAATTGTACACAATCAAAGCTATCCTTGGTTGTTCTTCAAATTACACATAAATTACAGCAGTGAAGTCTTTGTGAATATTAAATGTAGGTAAACACTCTAAATAACAGAGCACTTATAAACTCACACACACATACAACATTGTCTAAACTGTCCTTGTTATCTTTCTTTGGTATTAAACCAGTTCATGAAATTATATTTGCATGGGATAGGCCCTGCTGTATACAGAAGTTGCTGTGGATGAATTGGAGGTGTGTACATGTGAATTCCGTTAGTCTCAAAACAAAAAAAGTATTTGTGGGAAACAAGAAAATGACCTCTAAGGATGTCCATATCCCAATCCCCAGAATCTGCAGATATGTTTACTTTGCAGAAGTGATAAGGTTAGAGACCTTGAAATGTGGACATGATCCTGGGTTATTTGGGGGGGTCATTACTCACATGAGTCCCGATAAGTACAAAACCTTCCCCAACTGCAGAGAACCACAGAGATGGCAGTATGAGGAGGCCTCCGCCTACAGCTGCTGGCTGGGAAATGGATGAAGGGGGCCACTAGCTAGGGAACACATGCATGCCATCTTTAGAAGCTTGAAAAGGCAAGGATGGACGTGGCCCCTCCTCTAGAGCCTCTGGAAAGGAATGCGGCTCTGCCTACACCTTGATCCTAACCCACTCAGACCCAGGTTGGCCTTGTGAAAGACAGAACAGTAGGATAATAAATTTGTGCTATTTCAAGCCACTAATCTATGGCAATGTGTTAGGAGAACAAGAACAATTGAATACAACATTCCGTATGGTACTTCGTGGTTAACCACCAAACCAGGCTCGATGCATCCACACCACATGTGTACACTCATCTGTGAAATGTACACCCCAGGTGAGTACTGTCTTGACTGAGTGCAGCAGGCCAGTCTCTAGACCTCATGATTTTCATAAAGTCACTCACTGAAAGTAACCCAGCCATCCCATCCAAGAAGACGATCCTCAGGACCTCAGACATCTGTCCAGTCACTAGTAATTACCACGTGACATAGCATCTATTTTTCTACTTAGGTCAGACCCTCAGAATAGAATCCAAAGACCTGGAAACACTTGAAACTTACCAAAGTTCAGTCTCATTAGTGGAGATAGTAGAGCAGCCCAGTTCACAGGAGGGTATTGATAGCTTTCTCCAACCATTGCTATGGGCTTCATCACTACTTTAAGAAGGGGAGGGGGCACAGACTCAGGACCTGCCACAGAAAGGAAAAAGTAATCATAAAGCACCTCATAATATCACGAACGTAGAAAATGTCAACTTTCCCTTCTTTTTCTAGTTTTAATTGTGGCTAACCCTTCCATGTGTGCTCTTAATCGCTTTGGTATCTAACTTTGCATCCTCTTGTTTTTCTGTCCCTTTTTTTGTCTTCAGCTTTCCCTCCTGTCTGAGTGGTTTCCCTCCACATTCTGATTGAGCTTTCGTTCTTGCCTTTCTACTCAGTTTTCTAAAAAGAGTCACTTGCTCTAGCACTCTTGCCTCCTTATTTAATCCTCAATCCATGTGTCCCAGAGAGGACAATTAGTGAACTACTCAGGTACATTGCCCTGAAAGGACTATGTTATTGTTGTTGTTGTTGTTAAGTGCCGTCAAGTTGGTCCCGACCCATAGCAATCCTGTGTAGGACTATGGGTTACCTATAATCCCTGCATCATGTCATATACAGCCTCACCTACTCCTCAGCCTAGGCCATGGCTGAGATCCAGAAGGGAGCACCTGAGGTAGTAACAGCTACCCATGGGTCAACAAATACCTGAGACATATCTGATATTATTTTAATATTATTTTCTTTTTTTAAAATATTATTTTAATATTATTTTCTTTTTTGTGGTGGGGAAGGGTATAATTTGGAATTGAGAAACAGACACTGGAGTAGTCCTAAGTAGGTACAGTCTGAGTTTAGAGTAAGCGTTGTTAGAGGCCAGGTACAAGTGAAGTAACAGGGAGGTAAAAAAATGCATAACAAAAGGAGAAATGACCAAGGCACAGCAGAATCAGCCAGAAGAAAGGCAGGAAAAGGAGAGGCAGAAGAAACAGGCACCTCAGAGGCAACAAGAAAAACAAGAAAAAGTAGAGCTAAGAACTGAAGGGGAAAAGTAGTGTGGAAAAGTCGCTAAACAAATAGCTCCAACCCACAGCAAGTGACTAAAAATACACAACTCCTCTCAGGAAAGGAAGAATCTGACGTCCAGTGTCATCCCATTATGATATTAAAGAGGTCCACATTTCAACAACAATAATGAAGCATGCAAAGAAACAAAGCATAGCTGATTCACAAAAGAAATGAACAAAAATTATCCCTGAAAAAGCAGATATTTGGATTACCTGACAAAGATTTTAAATCAACTGTCTTAAATATGCTCAAACAGTTAAATAGTCAAAAAAGAAACTACAAGGAAAAATAGATAATCATTTTTGGAAGAATGAGGACAAAAATACATATATAAACATATAAAAATACATGCCTTATAACAAAAGGGGTGCTCAGAGGGAAATGTACAGTTATATATAAAATAGAAGAGAGATCTGGTCTAGAGAGAATGAACATTTTCCAGTAGTTTTGCATTCACTACTGAATGTTGTTGTTGTTTTAAGTGCTGTTGAGTCATTTCCAACTCATAGTGACCCTGTATAGGGTTTCTGAGGAACGACTGGTAGGTTTGAACCACCAACTTGAGGTTATCAGATCAGTGCTTATACTACAGTGCCACACCAGAACAGAACATCCTCATTCAATGGATGACCTATCACATCTGAAAGGCTGTGAGACACCCTTCTTCAAGAATGTCTCTCCCCATAGATGTGGGGCTCTGGAACACCTGGCAGGAAGTGTTTTTTCTGCTGGTGGTGGGAGGTCTTTCGGTCTTGCTAGGTTTCAGTTCCTGGCGCCTCACCCTGGTTTCCTTGTGAAGGGACAAGATTGTATCTACCTCCTCCTACTGAAGTCCAAGCTCACATCACCCAGAACATCACCCATAGCTGGAGATGTTGGGTAGGCAGGAGCTAGGTGTCCCTCTCCCCATTAAGTCTTTTCCATGGCTGTCACTGCTTTCAGAATAAAAGTCTCAACTTCTGAGTTTGAATTTTTAAAAAAAAGAGAGCTCTCAAATTGATAGCCTAACTTCACATCTAATGGAACAAAAAAAGAAGAGGAAATTAAATGAAAATTAGCAGAGAGAAGAAAATAACAAAGAATAGAGCATTAGAAAAACAATAAAATCAATAAAGTCAAAAGATGGTTCTTTAAAAAGATCAACAAAATTGAAAACCTTTAGGTAGATGAAGAAAAAAGAAGACGACATGAAAAAGTAAAATCAGAAATGACAATGGAAATATAACTATGACTGCTGGTGTGGCCCCACAGAATAAGCAGCTAACCTCAAGGTCGGTTTGAACTACAAGGTCAGTGGTTCAAATTCACCAGCTGCTCCTTGGAAGCCCTAATACAAGGTTGCCATGAGTTGGAACTGATTCGACAGCACTTACCACACACACAACACACCGGCCTTAATAAAAATTAGGAGAAAATGCTATGAAGAATCATATATCAAGAAACCAGATAATCTAGATAAAGTAGATAAATTCTTAGAAACACACAAATTACCTAAACTGACTAAAGAAGAAGCTAGTAAAGTAGACACTGAACCATAATCAAGAACCTCCAACAAAGAAAAGTCCAGGATCAAATGACTTTACTGTTGAGTTCTACCAAACATTTAAAGATGAGCTAAATCCAATGCTTATTAAAATCTCCCTAAAAATAGAAGAGGAAGGGACATTTCCTAATTTATTCTATGAGGTCAGCATTACTCTGATACCAAACCCAAAGACACCATGAGAATAGAAAACTACAGACTAATATCCTTTATGAATATAGGTATAAAACTCCTCAATGAAAATACTAGCAAACCAAAACCAACACCATATTGAAAATGTTTTATACCATGTCCAGGTAGACTGTATCCAAGGAATATATCACTTTAATAGAATGGAAGTGAGCAGATTTTTGTTTTTAAAAAATGTCTTAGATGTAGTGTATTCAAATCTATTCCAGGTCTTTCTGAAGTATTCACAATAGAAACTTGCATTTTCTAGAGGATATGGGGTGTCAGGAAAGGTATTTATCCTCTGCTTTACTCCATGACTCGGTGTGAAACATGACTATATTCCAGCTGTTTTACTGCCTAGACTCAAGCTCTCCCTTGACAGGACTATGGAACATGCACTAATGACTGCACTTTACTGTACTCTTTAGATGTTGCTTCTCTAGTCTCTAGAATTGACCTAATATAAAAGAAAGTGTCAGAAAAAAGGAAGACTTGTAAAATGGAGAATGGGTAAGTGCTATAAGGCAATAAACCTTCTGCATTTGAAAGGCAGAGAATCAGCAATGAGTAGCATAACTTGAATCACAGCATTTCCCACTGCATTTGCACAGAACAAAATATGACACTAAGTGGAGAAAGGAACTACAGTAACTGTTAGGAGTGGAGAAACTACTTGGTAGTCCTGCATTTTGGTGGGAGGTATGGAAAGAGAAGGAATTCCAAAGTTCCAAGGAGAATGGAGCTGCATGATTTATCCCCAGAGATCTTCCGTAGGGGACAAAAGAAGCCCAATCTTAGCAAGTGGAAGGATCAGCCTCTTTATTATAGTGTTTGAGTCCTGGTGTCATGCTGTAGGATAAGAAATGGATTACTAATCATAAGGTCAGCAGTTCAAACCCATCAGCTGCTCCTTGGAAACTGTACACAGGATCACTAAGACTCGGATCCGACTCGATGACACTTAACAACAGCATCTTGTAAATAAGTGTCCTACATAAGAATTACAGAAGTGCTTTATAGATAATAAGGAGCACTATGGGATACACACTGCGGCAAGATAGACAGTTCAAACCCACCAGCAGGAGAAAGTAGAGGCTTTCTGAGCTAGTCAAGTTTGGTTTTCTAGACAATGAATTTGAAACTGACAAGGTCTAACCAAAACCAAAGACCCATTGTCAATGATTCGATTCGGACTCATAGTGACTCTGTATAGGGTTTCTGAGACTGTAAATCTTTAGGGGACCAGAAAGCCTCTATCTTTCTCCAGCTCAGGGGATGGTGGGCTTGAACTGTCAACCTTGGGGTTAGCAGTCCAGTGCTTATTTTATGTACTTGTTAAAAGACTTCAGATGTTTTAAAATCAAAACACAAAAGTTGTTTTAAATCTCTCATCCAGTTTACAGAGTCCAAGAGCCCTGATGGTAGTGATAGCGGTGTGCTCTGGATTCAGTTCTGACTCATAGCAACCCTGTGTAGAATTTCTGAGGCTATAACTCTTTACAAGAGCAAAAAGCCTCATCTTGTGCATGAGGAGTGGCTGATAAATTCAAACCACTGACCTTGCAGTTAGCAGCCCAATATGCTACCAGGCTCCTTAAAAAACCCTGACACATATAATATATTTGAACACAACACAGTATAAGAAGACCCATTTTTACATATATGTTGGCTTTATGAAGTATTAGATCTCAATGCCACACAGTGCACGTGTGCAACCCCTACAGAAAATGTCTGGCAACAGGAGGCTAACAATAACAGGTGTTGGGTAAATTTTGTCACCAATACCTTGCTTGTGAGGTGTGGACACACCCTCACTTTCTCCTTCTTCAGCATTGTTTAGAGGCAACTTAGTTTATGATTAGTAGGCCAATGAATGAGGGGGATTTGGAAAACTCAAGGAAAAGTGGCATTAAAAGATAATGAAAATTTCCACAAACATTTTGAAGCCCTTTCATAGATGCTTAAAGGTAAAAGTCAACATATATTTGAAGACTATTTCATGCCAGGTAGCTTGTTCTGAGCATTTAGATAAGGTAGTACAGACACAGCTGTTGTTCCTACCCTCAAGGAAATACAATCTACTGGGAAAGATAGGCTTTAAAGAACTGTAAATAATTATAAATATGCAGAGTGCTGCTAAAATAAAAACATACGGAAAAGTAACACACAGGAATCTAAACTAATCTGGGAACATTAAGGAAGTCCCCTCTGACTAATAAGATTTATCTACATAATGACAATCTCCAGTGAGAACTAAGAGATGCTTGTTGATGTTATTTACTGTCCACCAGATTCTGACTCGTGACAAAAATGTGTATCAGGGTAGAAATAGGCTCCAGAGGGCTTCCAAGACTGTGACATTTCAGGA